TTTCCTACCATGACACATATGTTTGGAAATCTGAACACTGAACCTTTTATTAATTTTAAGGTAGCTAGACACCTTAAATAAGTTTAAGAAATTGTTAATATGTTTTGCTACATTTTCTCATCTTTAGTAAGTAGCAACTTAGATGCGTTAGAACGTAGTGACTAGTAGGTGATATTAAAATGTCAATATAAGTTAAATTATTAGAAAAAGTTAAAATTAACTTAACTTRAACTGGCTYGTTTATTTTATTTTGTACCTATATTCATCTTATACATCGCTGTTCTTATTCCACGCAGTGCTATTTCGTATTATTAATGCATTGTGATAACCGCCGCGCCGTCGACACAGCGACGGCATCCGTCAGTTAATTGAGTAGATTGTATTATATTACAATAACAATATTATTATAGTAATCGTGTACGAATGTAGCCGGCGACAGGGCAGTTTATTGCGCAGCGAATGACGACGGAAAGAGGTCATCGCCTCGGAACAAACAACAATACAAACAACGCGACGACGGCGATCGGTTGTCGGGCCGACTCGGTCGTGTAGTGCGTTCGCGGCGGCGGGTGTGTTTGAGTGCAGGGTCGGGGTGGGGATTTACGAGTAAGTGGAAGCACGGCGAGGCCGACATGTGCTCCCGCCGATGCCTAAGCGTGTCGCACTAACGTCGTGCCCGTGATGTGTTAATGAGTTATTGCGTGTGCATACGATTATCTCTGCTACTACTATTATTATTATTTTTAAAGTCGTCGGACCGCAGCTGATTGCTGATATTTTAATCACATATTATACAACAGTACTGATCAACCACGTACACGGACGTCGTGAACAAAATATCATAATAATATTTTACTGTCGCGCCGCACGCCAGCCGTTCACCGACGACGACATTTTTCTCCCGCAATCGGGCACACAACAGTACCAAATAATATTTTTAATAAATAAAAAAAAAACCGATCGCCTGTCACAAGCCTACCTACTTACCCAAAGGGAACATACGAGTTCATCTGCACGAGCTTCCGAGGTTTTTCCGACGGCCGTTGCTGTCACGACGAATGGCGATAATGAAATAATAATAATAAYATTCATAATCATCACCGTACGACGAGCAACTTATCGTCGGTATCAGACGTACATTGTCCGGCCGTTGTGAGGCTCTCGCGGTGTCATCGCCGTTTCGCGGTCGTCGTCCGTTTTTCGTCCACGCACAGGCCGTCCCAGCGGCGCCGGTGGTCACGGACCGATGGCGGCCACCACTATGGTCGGTAACGGACGGACCGAGCTCGACGGGACGTACGCCGGACGCTGCAGCGTCGATCCGCCTGACATCGAGGTAAGCTAGTTTTGAAGATGTTGTATGATAATATTATTATAAACACGCGCGCGAAACTGAGATTTGACCTACCTGTTGCCGCGAAAATTCAGAACGTCGAACACAAAGTTTTTCATAACTTACAAGTGTGGGCGTAGGGCTTGGAAGTTATAGGAGCTATTAAAAGAAAAACGTACACGAAAAATAATATTGTAAAATATGCAAAAAAAAAAATTTATTAAATCTTCAAAATTTAAAAAACTAAAAAAAAATTATATGTGTTGCGTTATTCAATTGCACTAAAATAATTGGAAAATATGGAAAAATTGAATACTTCTAAATTCTAATATAGTGGAAAACTTTTTGCATTTCAGCAGTTTATTGAACTGTAAAATAGTTWAAAAAATATATTCTTAAGAATATAATACCTATAATTAATATACTTTAAATATTAGTATGCGATAGAGATTAAATGCATATCGCACTGTTGTCGTTACATTAATAGTCGACTGAATGCGACGATAACAATAAATACSGACATGCATTAATTAATGATATTAAGTTTTATATTCAATATTATTATTAAAATACACAGCTTAAGAGAGAAAATTATCTTTTTTTTTAGGAAATAGTTATAAATATGCATATTGCATATTATGTGTATGAGAATCAAAAATGTACATTTTCGATTTTCAATTTTTAAACTCATCATTGTTTAGCAGCTCAGATTTCTAGCTTGGTTTTCTATAAATCTAGAGCATAATATACAATAATTTTACTCCTACAACTTTCGAGCCCTACTGGCTATTTGAAAATATGAGTGTATGTATGACAATATTACTATTTATGTCGAAGTCAGACWATATAGTACCTAATCAACAATTTACGCAGGTAAACCTGCAAGTTATAATAATAATATTGCAAACGTATTACCGAATGACCGCGATATCTGCAGCACAGAAACTTGATTTATA